CATGACGAGGGGGCATTGAGGCAGTTTCCTGGCCAATTAGGAAGCCACGTCTTTACACGGTGCCCGGCTTCCTGATTGGCCAGAAAGCCAGCTCCATGCTTTCTCGTCACAGCATGGTGACAACTTCCCTGCTAATCGGGTAGCTGGGTGGCGAGTCTTTACATGCTCGCTCGCTTCCTTAATGGGACTTCTGGTATCGGTATTCAGTATCGGCGAGTACTGGGGAAAAAAAAAAATCGGTACTCGATACCGAAATACGGGTATCGGTGCATCCCTAATAATGAATATAAATATCTGGTCTTAAACTATATTATATAAGTATTAACGGGGTAAATATATACCCTCAACAAGCTCTACATACACTACACTGATCGCTGAGGTGGGCTCATTGAACAGTGAAATGGCTTGTTCAGGACAATCAGGCCCCAGTAACAAAGTGACGCTAAATCAGAGAGGAGCACAGGAGAGGCCTCTGGGTAATAAAGGTAATAACAGGAGGCTTGTGGTGACATCTTAGGCAAAAGTTTACCAAGAAATAAATGGAGTACAGGTTTACTTTACTCGGAAGCATGTTCATAAAGCGGTTAGGCTATATTCACCAAACATTCATTGCAGGTGAATCTACTTGGGGCATGTGCAGGAAAATGAATGCACTTTATTCACCTCCAGTAAGTGTTTGGTGAAAGTGCTTTATAATAATTTTGGACTTGACACATTTTAAAGGGCCCCTTTAGCAGGGTCACCCATTTGGCAGAGTGAATGGGTGATCAGAATATGAAGACACATGGTTTGATTATTGATTGGAATATCAAAACAATCAGATTAACAAGAAGGTTGAATCATGTGCGCGGACCGTCATAGTTATAGTGAATGAGGGAGGAGATCTGTGTTAGGGGCCCCTCACCTGATAACCTTGAGGAGATCTGTGCTCTCTGAACATGCCGTTGATGATCTCCATACATTATAAATCTGATGACATGAAGTCATTTCTAAGCATCACATTCATCTATACCAGAGAGGCAGTCCGGGGACAGCTCATCGGTGTGACCTACCTCCCCTGTTTCCCCGATAATAAGACCTACCCCGAAAATAAGACCTAGATGTGACCATTCCCAGGGCCGGTGGTGGCATAAGGGGGAACTTGAAGAGCTGCGAGAGAACCAGCGGTGCCAATGAAGCCAGCGCTAGAGGAAGCGAGGGAGGGAGCAGAGCCGTATAAGCCGATTCCTCCTCTATAGCACCGGCTCCTGTCACAGGCGGACTGATACCAAATGCACTCCGCCTGTGAGGAATCCATAGTGAAAGCGCGCTTCACTCATTCTGGCCAGCAATTGGTTAGCAAATTTGGAAAGGTACGGCACCCCTGATTGCCCTGATCACCATATTTGTGTACATGAATACATGTAGACCGTTGTACATGAATAAGTGTGGATTGTTGTACATTAAAAATAAGACCTACCCCCGAAAATGAGACCCACCCCCGAAAATAAGACCTAGTGTGTTTTTATGAGCCAAAAAAATATATAAGTGAGTGTCTTATTTTCGGGGAAACACGGTAGATGTCCCCGAGTAGTCTGATGAGTGTCTATTGTGCAGCGGTGAATGGAGGGAAATAAACATTGTAAGTACCTCATGTGAGGGAAGTCATCTCCCATGACTGTGATCAGGGCATCCTATAGGTGCAATATTGGAATACAGAGATTTAATATTGAGAGAGAGATTCGTGTTCTGTATAAGATTATTTTTCTAGCCTGTGTTTTGTATTATCTCTATGAACAGTTTCACTCATTGACATTGGATTAAAGGAACATATTTGTGGCATTTCTGTTTTTATTTCTGCCTAGATTTGTGAGTCCAACCAACTATGGGGCAAGATCTGCTGCCTGACCATTAGGTCCCATTCACACCAATTGAGGTGCGTTCCAGAGCGGCAGCTGCTAGAACGCACAGCAATCGCTCACAAAATTTCCCCCTACAATCTGGGCGGGAGGGGGCGTGGGCATTAAAACTATGGGGTCAGGGCTTTTCTCCATAGTTCTCCTCAGGGTCACGGGAGGACACAAACTAGCGTCCTCCCGTCACCCAAAGCTCAGTATATAGCAGGCTACAGCTCGCGGTATACTGAGACGTCGCAGCCGGGACAGATCCTGACATTACTGTCGAGATCCACACACCTGCGTGAGTGACAGCTGGCTCTGCCTATCTAGAGGCAGAGCCAGCTGTACCCCGCCACCTCCCCCGTCCGTTCCGCCAGTCAGCGCTGGAGGATCAGAGCGGGGGGAATCCCTGCAGGGAGCCGTGAGTGAGTCACGGCTCTCTGCAGGGACAGGATCGAGAAGTGAGCAGATCGTGCATCATGTTTCTGCTCACTTCTCGATCTACTGAGCCGACCTGTGAGAGTCTCGCGTCTGATCGCACTGCGGACGGGGAGGCGTGGCTGCGGTTCCATTGACTTCAATGCACCTCCACGTCCCCTCCCACCCCAGAACAAAGGGGGGAAGTTCTGTGAGCGATTGCCGTGCGTTCCAGCAGCTGCCGCTCTGGAACGCACCGCAAGTGCTGTGAATGGGCCTGTACGCCCATTTGAGCTTGTTGGACTTCCCATTCCAAAGCCATGAACAATAATATGGTGTCCCTCCCCTTGATCGGTTTCCACTCTTCTGGGATGTCTTTCTACAGGGGTTTGCGGTGTGTCTGTGGGATTGTTTTCCCTTTCAACCAAAAGAGCATTTGAGAGCATCTTGTACTGAACGAGAAGACTCGACTTGCAATCTGTCCTCCAATTCCTCACACAAGGGTTGAGGTCAGGGTTTCTGTGAGGGGATTTAGAAAGATTAATTTTAAAATTTGCTATCTGACTAAGAGAATATCATCCGCGCATGCGGCCAGTTGATGTTCTTTAGTGCCTACTGTGATACCGGAAATGTTCCTATTTAGTCTGACAGGAGCAAGAAAAGGTTCTAATGTCACAACAAATAAAAAATGGCGATAATGGACATCCTTGGCGTGTGCCGTTCTTTAACCTCCCTGGCGGTAATCCCGAGTCTGGCTCGGGGTGAATTTTCAATGCTAGGAGCGGTAACTCCGAGCCAGACTCGGGGTTGCAGAGAAAAGTGACACTCACCTTGTCCCTGCGAGCCCGCGGCGTCCTCTGCTGTACAAAGCAAAGTTATTTGACAAGGAACCATTTACTTTAATTTGGGCCGTAGGGTTATTTATTACACAATGCCATTACCCCGGTCTCATTCCTACCGCTTGAAGGGTGGCCCGGAGATAATCCCAGTCAAACGCTTTTTCAGCATCCGTTGACAAAAACAAGGTGTAGTTTGAGGATAGTGAGGGCTGATGTATTAAATTGATCGCCCTCTGGGTACAGTCTCTAGCCTCCCTCCCGGGGATAAAACCCGTTTGATCAGGTGTTACTATTTGGAACATTAAGCCATTAAGTCTAGATGCCAAAACTTTGGCGTAGATTTTAATGTCTGTATTAAGTAATGATATTGGCTAGAGGCGCACCAAAATGGAAATTTTAAAACGGAAACAAAACCGAAATAAAAAAAAAAGTCAGGCTGAAACCGTTACCGAAAATGTTTTTTATTTTTATTTTTTCAATTTTTTTAAATATTTTCTTTTTTATAAACATTTTAAATTTTTTTAATATAATTTAGGAAATACGGATATATAAGCATGTAACGTTGATGGAAGTGGAGAAACAGCGAGGTGAAGCTTCACCTTTAGGACAGTGGTTCTCAACCTGTGTAATCTCAGGACCCGCAAGTCGCACCGCACTGGAACACACGGCCTTGCGGTACCGCACGTTGATTGAACTGCGGGTGGGAGGTGCGTTTGGGGTGCCATTCAAATGAATGGCAATGCAACACACCTCCTACACCGGAGTTTGCGGTAGGTGCGATTTTGCGTGGTACAGTGCGTTAGTCGCCCAGGACTGTGAGATTAATGCACTGTACTAGTGTGAACGGGCTCTCAAAAACACTGACAGACAACCCCAAAACATTTTTTATAAGATCCACCCAGTCTCCCTATCATACGAGAACTGGAGTGGATCCTCAGCCTGGGGCCCAGTGTGGGATGCTGTGCTGTGCTGGAGCTCCATCCATATGTGCATTGCTTGTACAGCTCCCTTGCGCCTTGTAGAGGTGCCGATTGCTGCCCTGGGGTGGGTGGGGGCAAGCTGGGGAGTCTCTCACCTAGAAAAGTGGAAGGCACACGGTGACCCACTAAACAAGGGGTTGGGACCCACCAGTTGAGAACCAAGGCTCTAGAAGACTCATACTTTGCATTCTCTTGTGTAAAGTGGTTGTGTTCGTAAAAAGGTAAACATCCACATTGGTAGATATTACGAGACCCAGTGGCTCAGTGGCTCAGACTATGACCTCCTATACCAGGGATTGTGGGTCAGAGGTGACAGTAAACACAGAGACTGTATCTAGTTTTTATGACACCAGAAAACCAGGTATCCTGTCTGTCCAAAATGTGCCCCTATTGTCCTCAAAGGAATCTCCCATTTCCCTTAGGTGTAGGGCAGGGATGGCCAAACTGCGGCCCTCCAGCTGTGGTGAAACTACAAATCCCATGATGCATCTCTCTCCGGGAGTCATGTCTGTGGCTGTGAGAATCTTGCATAGCCTCATGGGATTCGTAGTTCCACCACAGCTGGAGGGCCGCAGTTTGGCCATCCTTGGTGTAGGGAGCCTGCCGAGTCCTGGCCTGTAGAGTTTGTCCCCCTATGTTGGGCCACACATTTGTAGATTGTGCTTATAAATGCTGAGATATGTTCCTGACACCCTTTGGAGCCGAGGAAGCTGCTGAGATGAGAAGAGAAACATCTTCAACAATAAAAAACAAGTCTCATTGAATGTGACTAACGAGGTCTATAATTCCCGGCACCATCGAGAACCTCCACACAGAATGAGGATTTGGCGCACACACAGAAAGCTGCGCGGCTTTTATTGTAGGTTTCCTTCTACATAAACGAAGATTCTACCTCCCGATGTATCAGCTCTGGGTGAAATCTCCCTTCATCATCTGCGACGGAGGGATCTCCAGCTCTGAGTTGATCTTTAAACAGAAACAAAAATGGACAATATGAGCGATGTGATAGAATCAAAAAGTCAGAAACGTGTACATGGGGTTTGCACCACTCTGCCGTACCAGCAAAGAGTACAAACAATTGTATACAGCCAATAAAAAGGGAGAACGCTCAGGCGAGACCCAACACAGCAATGATCAAAGGTTTATTGATATATTCAGAGAAAAACTTGAGTATGCAAAAACAGAGCGCTACTACCCATTGAGAAACTCAGGAATGAACAGGAAGTGATATAAAGCACTTCCTGTTCATTCCTAACTGGGGACACATAGCTAAGCAGATTGCTCCTACATTTGCAGCATATCACAATTAATGCAACAAACGTTTCGGGGTCACGCAGGATACCCTTCCTCAGGCAGTGACATGTGAAGGGGATCCTGCGTGACCCCGAAACGTTTGTTGCATTAATTGTGATATGCTGCACCTCGTCAATAAATAGACGTTTATGCATTCGCAATTGGAGTGTCGGAGTCTCTGCTTCTACCTATGTTTATAATGGCTGCCATCCGTTGATCACCGCTGCACCCATCTTGTCCTGTTTGGAGTAAGCGGTCAGGAGTGCGATGGGTTCATGGACTCACATAGTACTATGTGTCCCCAGTTATTTACATACAGGCCTTGCCACTGAGGTGGAAATTTCAGTTCAAAGGGCATCTCAGCAAACTTTTTACAGTGGACTCCATGACAAGGACGAGAGGACACCACTTAAAATTGGTGGAGAAAAAATTTCAGCGCAAGGGCCGGAGGGGTTTGTTCTCAGTCAGAGCGGTCAGGGTCTGGAACTCGCTGCCGCATGCTGTGATTTCGGCCGAGAGTGTGGAATCATTCAAGAGGCGATTGGACGATTTCCTCAGGGACCGTTATATTCAGGGGTACAGGTACTCTTAAGATTGAGAACACACAGGGACCTATACTGTACATACTACACATCAATAGGACCACACACACAATAGGTTGGACTTGATGGACATATGTCTTTATTCAACCTCAAATACTATGTAATCTCCGTATCATATATACACTGAGTGGCCAGATTATTATGACCCCCCCATCAGTACTTGGTTGGGCCGCCTGGTGACTCCACGAGATGATGAAAGGTGATGCGAGGAATCTGACACGGCACTGTTGCCCTTCTGTTGTCTTGTACCAGTCTTGCCCCTCCCCCGTTCTGCCCTAACATTGACTAGTCGCTGACGGCCACAATTCGCACGCTCAGACCCAGATTTTCGGCTGACAGTCCGGTCTTTAAACACTTTAACAATGAGCCGCTCTGGAACATGTAAGGAATTCTGCTGTTTTGCTGATACTCGCTCCATGGCTCTGAGCGCCAACAATCATCCCGCGTTCAAAGGCTGTTACATCGCGTTGTTTCCCCGTATCTTCAGAAACAAATCACTTCTACTGTCGTGGTAACCAACCCGCTTCCCTATTTATAATGGTCTGGCCCTCTAGCAACTTCAGCGCCAAGTTATAGCTAATTTGCCTACAAACGTCAGGTGGTCATAATAATTGGAGCTGATCGCTCCAGAATTTGCTCTGTACAGAGGATAGGTATACATCACTGATATGTACCGATCCCCCACCGCTCAGCCACGCACAGAGAGGGGCTCAGCCTGCAGCTTTGTCCTCTGGATCCCCGCTGCTCTCCCGGGCAGAGGCAGCGGGGATCCGAGGAGAAATGAAGGAAGCGCTGAAGCCGGCAGGGGGGCGGAGGAGGGAGCCTCTGTCACAGCAGCATGGCCGAGCGGTGAGGAGAGAGAGAGTCGCTGGCTGTCAGATGCTGGCCGATCGGCTCTCTCTCTCCTCAGCGCTCGGCCATGCTGATACTGCAAGCGAGGAACAGGCCACGTTCATAGACAACAGTGAATGAAGCTCCCAGCGTTGTCCCCTAAGGTGTGCCTGGACAACAGCATTCAGATACTACAGGTAGGTACCTGCGCATTGCTCAGAGCCAAGTGCCTGCTCTGTAGCCTGTCTCACTAGAGCAGGGGTAGCCAAACCACAGCCCTCCAGCTGTGATGAAACTACAAACACCATCAGACATTGCAAGACTCTGACAGCCACAGGCAAGGCCTACTGAGGCAGATGCATGATTTCACTCAGCTGGAGGAGCGCAGTTTGGCTACCCCTGCCCTAGAGGAATGACTCTCCCTGGCAGCTGTCAATAATTCCCATGTGTGTGCTTAGCCTGTGCACAACTGTCACTTTATCTAGGCAACGGATCCAGAATGCACACAGAATGTACCAAAATATCAGTATGTTCGGGCTAATGGTTTCGGTAATATGTTGGACCAAGACAATTTAGGTAACGGATAAAGTAGGGCATACATGTCACTGCTGGCACAGATCTTCTTATGTCTATGGCTCAGCTTTATGTACTCCTCTATGATGTGATCCCAATGCTCTATGGTTCTGCCGTTCAGTTAGTATTTTCCTGAGTATTTTGGGCGGGAACATGATGTCATAATGACATCAGGGGGGCAGTTAGGATGATTCTGATTGGTTTGTCACACTGTTTCATATGTATATATTGGACACGTTATGTCTGGTTGGTTGTCACTCTGCTTGCCTGAGGAAGGAACAGGATAGGGTTCCGAAACGTTGCCATACGCTGTGTGACCACCTTGATCATGTCAATAAAGACGACTTCTGTAAGCCGAGGTATCCCCCGCACACCATACAGCAATGGAGACCGTTGATAGTAATGGTGCTCGTAGTGATGTCCACGGATGGCGCCGTGCGAATCCAAGGTTTGAACAATGAAGATCACCAACACACATTGTGTGCTAGTGATCTTCATTGTTCAAATAAAGAAGACTTGACGCAAAGAATTTCGGAGTGCCAGTGATTTCTAGTTTTTTTAAGGTGTGACCTATAGGCGTGCACTCTACACTGAGTGGCCAGATTATTATACACACTGAGTGGCCGGATTATTATATACACTGAAATAATTATGTACAAACACTCAGCGATCACTGATCACCAACTGCTTGTACCCGCTCTCCTCTCTGACACACACTGTCACAGGAAGCTGAGAGAGCGGTGCGGGAGGAGAGCCAAGCCTCCTGTGACACCGCTCTGCCGCACTGTGATAGGGGGCTGAGCGGTGTGGGAGGAGAGACACCAGCCGCTCACAGCGCTCTCCTCTCGCAGCGCTCGGCTGGCTGTCACTTTCTCTCCTCCCCGCTGGGACACAGAGCAGCGCCCAGCGGGGAGGAAAGAAATCACGGATGCGCCGATATATCGGCAGGAAAATGGCACTTTCGGCATTTAGCCAAAAGCGTCATTTTCGGCCGATATATAGGTGCATCCCTAGTTAGGTGGATAGATTAGGGGGTCATGCTTACCCTGACATCCTGCCCCGGCGCCAAGGTGAAGGTGATGTCAGCCTCCTTCTGGTCAGACCTCAGAGAATGCCGAGTAGCCCAAATCTCATGAGAAGGAGATCCTGCTCTGTGCTGTGAGATA